GATGTGTTCATCTAGTTTCTCCCTCCCCAGGCCTCCTGTCATCACACAGCACTGAGGCAGAGGCCCAACAGGCAACATCAGCTACAAGTGAAGAACAGGGAGTCAAGGTATTTGTATTCAACTACCGAGGTTAGGGAGACGAGCTGGAGGCAGGATAAATTCAGTTTGCTCAACTGTTAGCAATGAAGTATGAAAGCAGAGTAAGTTGGGGACATATTTGTAGAAAGAAAAAGTTTTGGCCAAAAGTTGCATGGTTGATCCTTAGCTCCATCCTTCACTAACTGTATGTCCTGGAAAAGTGACTCTCACTTTCCTTAGTTGTGAAAACTGAGCAGATGAGATTCCCTTACCTCCTTCAGGGTTACTGTAAGGATAAAGACAGACAAGGGTACAGTTTTATAAGCTATAAAGCATGATTAAAGTTTTAATTTTTTAAAAAGATTTATTTTTATACAAGAACTGGGGTACAGGCCAGATGCGTGGGAAGGTGAGAGGATTCACCACAGAGTGGGGAACAGAACAGGCAAACTGACGAAATACACTGCTGAGGGGAGCAGCAGGCGAGACAGGAGAGGTCTGCTGCGCCATGTGGGATTCTCGCTGGCTGGCTGGGATCGAACCCATGCTGCAGAGGCTGTGGACAGCTCCATAGTGTGGTGCTCAACCACCTGCGCCACCAAGGAGGCCCCAAAGGTATTATTTTCTCGAGGCAACACATAGTTACTAGGCACTACTCATGTTCCTGGTGCAGCACTTAGTGAGAAGAGCAGCACAAGGCAGCTTAGGCTGCCACCAGCACGCTGACAGGGGAGGTCGGTGCTTGAGCACAAGACAGCTCTTTACAGTGGTGTGGAATCGAGATGGAATTGCTATTAATTCATTGTGGGGGATGGAAATCAGAGTCTTGGGAAGGTGATGCTGGAGCTGGCCTTTGAAGGGAAACTGGATGGTAGTGAGGGAGATGAGGCTGGAATAGGCCTTTCAGGGAGAGAGAAATGAAAAAGCAAAGAGGTGCAAAAATAGAAGTGTTTAGGGGGCAGTGATTTGGCTTATCTGGTGACAGCACAGGCTACACCAGGAAAAATGCTCAGAAATGAAGTTGGACAGTTGGGACCAGGTTGTAAAGGGCATCCTTATAGGACTATATGTCATCAAACTAGAGACAACACAGCAAGGAATTAGAATTCTTTTCCCTCCCTGTTGCTCTCTCTTCCTTTCTGTGTTTAAAAAACAAAACAACAGGGCCTCCCCTGGTGGCACAGTGGTTGAGCGCTGGGCAGCGAGGCTGCCGCAGCCTCTGCAGTGCCAGTTTGTTCCCGGGCCGCCGGCGAGGGTCCCACAAAAAAAAAAAAACAAAAAAACACAAAACAAAACAAAAGACACAATATCTGCCTTTAAGTAATAACCTGGAAGAAAGACAGAAGACATATAAATGCTATAGGTGCTCATAAGGAACATAGTGAGGGTACAAAGAACAGGGTGTGTGATTCCATATGGGAGAGTCATGAAAATATTTATGGAGGAGCTGCTAAGTTGGTGTTTTCCAGGCAGAATGGAGGAGGGAATATACCCCACATGAGGGAGCAGCACAAAGAGACAGCCACTAAACAGCAGGGGACACACAGCGCAGCAAGAGATCCAGGTCTAGGCAGAACTTGGGTCTATGTACCTAGCAATGCTGGCAAAACCAGGGCCAGTACTGCACCGGTAAGAGCACAGGTTCTACATGACAGGTTCCCTGAACTCGCAGGCCTCCCTCTTGTAACCCTGAACAAGTTTCTTAACTCACCTAAATGGCATGTCCCTCATGGTTAAAATGGGAGTATTGATAGAACCTATAGTACAAGGTGAAGGAAGGATTAAATAAGATAATTTATGTAAAGGATTTAATACAAATGCCTGATTGACAGGAAGTACTCAATAAACTAATACTACTATTATCATTGTCACTGTTATTAGCAAACTATTATGGTGGTCAAGGCAAGAGCTGAAGAGGCCGTGGACCACATCAGCAAGCATTTTCCTCAACTGGAAGTGACTGGTTGGAGTTGGTGACACAGGAGAGGAGAAGGTCAAGGCTGGAGATAGAATGATTCCAGGTTCCAAACTCGAACAAGTAGGGACATGAGTGAAAATATAGAGCAATTTGGGTTGTGTGTACAACTTTTGTCTGAGTAACACCCAGGTGAGCGTGGCAAAGGGATATGCAGATCTTTGAGCAGGTAAAGCTATCCATAAGTTGGATGGACTTTCTTTATGACCCTCATCTTACAGTTTGAAAACTGCCCTCACATGCAGCACCCCCAAACCAAGTGGTGTTAATAAGCCATGTTTAATTAATGGAACCAACACCTTGGCCATAGCTTACTGACCCTTGGAAGAAAAGAAAAGCCAGCCAGGCAATAAGAGTTTTTGTGGTGTGTCTTTAAGATGGGCGTTTACCACACACTGAGGGCCAGCATCAAAGCTCACACACAAACAATGGGGGAAATAAATATATGAGACATGCAGAAAGAAGAAAAAATGAAGGAATATGAGAGAGTAGTTGCCCAAAAATATCTGGTTTTCATAGAGCCCAGCGGCATCCAGACATGACACACCAAGATCACCTGTACTCTTTTCCACCTGAGATCTTTTGCATCCAAACCATCCCTAAGGCTAGAACAGATGAGACTGCCAAAGAAGAACAAAAAACAAAACAAGAAAAAGGCCAAGGCTACCGCCCTGGGGACCAGTGACCTGGAAGCGGGAGACAGAGGAAGAAAAGCCAGTGGGAGAGGAAGGAAAAGGACTCACAGAGGGTAGATGGGATTCAGGAAAGAGCAGTGTCATGGAAGCCATTGTAAGAGAGGGGCTCAAGGGGTAATTAGCCAACAGTTTCACAGGCTATGGAGACATCAAATAAGAGAAAGGTAAAAACTAAGCTATTGTGTGGCAATTAAGCGGTCACTGGTGACAGCACCCAGAGCAGTGATTCTCAGAAACTCAAAAACTTTGATTTGAAATCTTGACTGTCACACTCACCATACCACTCATCCCTGGGTGGGGCTTCAACACACCCTGCCTTGCTTTCTCCTCCATTTAAGAATAATAATACCCCTCCCCCAAGCCTAGTGATTCCAGAAGCATTCTGTAACTTAGACTACCTGGTGCTTATATATGTGCATAGACACACACACATGCACTAATCTGAACAGTTAATATTTGTACTTTTAAAAGAGGAAAAAAATTTCCTTTGCCCCATCCTTACCTAGTAAACAAATTTAAAGAAAGGGGTTTATACTCTCCTGAAAAAAAAAAAAGAAGGGAATGGAGGCATCACACTCCCAGACTTCAAACTATACTACAAAGCCATAATCATCAAAACTGCATGGTATTGGAACAAGAACAGACGCACAGACCAATGGAATCGAATAGAAAATCCAGAAATAAACCCACAGATTTATGGTCAACTAATCTTTGACAAAGAAGCAAAGAATATGCATTGGAGCAAAGAAAGTTTGTTCAATAAATGATGCTGGGAAAACTGGGTCGCTACATGCAAAAGAATGAAGCTTGACTACTACCTCACACCATACACAAAAACCAACTCAAAATGGATTAAAGAACTAGACATAAGACCTGAAACCATAAAATACATAGAAGGAAATATAGGCAAAACACTACATGATATGCACATCAAAGACATCTTTACAGACACATCACCCAAAGCAGTGATAATGAAGGCAAATTGAAACAGCTGGGACTACATCAAATTAAAGAGCTTCTGCACAACACAAGAGACAATAACAAAAACAAAGAGAAACCCCACTGACTGGCAGAACATTTTTGCACACAGCACTAATGATAAAGGACTGATCACAAAAATCTACGAAGAGCTGATGAGATTCAACAAAAACAAAGAAAATAATCCAGTCAAAAAATGGGCAGAAGAGCTAAAAAGAAACTTCTCTGAAGAGGAAATGCAAATGGCCAACAGGCATATGAAAAAATGTTCAACACCACTTGTAATCGGGGAAATGTAAATCAAAACTACAATGAGTTACCATCTCACACCAGTGAGAATGGCACATATTAAAAAAACTAGCAACAACAAATGTTGGTGAGGTTGTGGAGAAAAAGGAACTCTCCGGCACTGCTGGTGGGAGTGCAAACTGGTCCAACCACTATGGAGAGCTGTGTGGAGATTTCTGGACCTACTAAACATAGAGCTTCCATATGATCCAGCAACTCCACTCCTAGGTATTTACCCAAAGGACACAGAAACATCAATTCCAAAGAGCACCTGCACCCCTATGTTTATAGCAGCACTATTTACAATAGCTAAGCTTTGGAAACAACCCAAATGCCCAAAAATAGATGACTGCATCAAGAAGATGTGGTACATACACACCATGGAATATTACTCAGCATTCAAAAAAGGTAAACACATGCAATTTGCAGCAACATGGATGGCGCTGGAAGGGATCATGCTCAGCGAAATAAGCCAGAAAGAAAAAGAAAAATACCGGATGGTCTCACTCATAGCAGGAATCTAGAAAACTTAAATAAGGGACCAGGAAAAAGAATAACTATAAGAAAGAAAATATCAAAATCAACAAACAACTATGAATCAGAGACACTCTAAGGGGGGGTTGAGGGGTGGGGAAAGGAGGGAATGGGGTCAAAATAAGGGGGTTGTAATTGTATGGGGAATATAAAAATAAAATTTAAATAAAAAAAAAGAAAGGGGCTTATAAAACAAGATGTAAAGCTAAAAGAAAAGTGTTCTTACATCCCTGCGAATCACCCCCGATACCCCTAACCTCAGCCTCCTGAGAATGGTGTTACTGGCTTTGCCAAGAAACTAACTGGTAAAACTTTCCACACTGTTATGACCATATTATATTTTTTAAAAAGTCACATGTGCATCTTCCACAGACTTGAGCGCATGGTAAACAATCTGAGAGAGGGACTGAGAGACGCAGTGAGAGCGGCCTCTGTGCAGGAAGGAGTCCTACCTTCATCAGGTGCTTGTTGACCCACTTGGTGAACGTCTTCTTCTGCACGCGGTCCCGTTCATCTGTAAAGGAGAGAGGAGGCGCTGGCTTAGTGTTACCCGGCACCAAGTTCCCGTACCCCACCTTGTCCACACTCCAGACCCTCCACTGGGGAGTTTCTACAGAACTGTGTGGGTTGTTGAGCAGAGGTCCTGCCTGGACCTCCTCTTCCGTCCTGACCATGTTGTCACTTCACAAATTAGAATCACATGCCTCAATGGGGCCATGTCTCCTTCACATCATTATTCTCTGGGGCGCAGAGTGATTCCTTGCTTCCCCCACAGCAAACTCCAGAAGTCCAAAGCTGTGAGGAGGCCATTGCCAGCAGAGTAGCATGACCTGGCACCTGGGTTACTCCCAATGCAGTGGTGAAAACTCACTCTTCAGACACATCTGCCGGGTCAGTGTTCTGCTCCCTCCCTCCAATATCCCTCCAATCTCCTCCTGCCATTACCAGTCAACCACATTCTCAAAGCTGCCAGTCACCCACTGCATATCTCCCCCCTCCCTTTCTTCCCTGAAATCTCCCAGAGCCCCCATTTCTCTGTAGGCAAACTCCCCTTCATTCTCAACCATGCTCCTCTCTCATTGACAGAAACAGGACCCTCAGATGCGCCATACAAGGCAGTGATGCTCCACAGGGGCTGGATTCCACAAAGGACTCACTTTCTCACACAGTTGCCAGTTCCCCAGAGCCACTTCCAAGCCACTGATCCACCTTCCCGGCTACTCTTCTATTTATTTGAAGCCTTACCATCTTGGTCAACTGATCCTCACTGTCACTAGTTCCCTGCTGCCCCCAGCCCCAACACAGCAAATCAACTGTAACCTCCCCTGACAACTTGGTTCACATTTACTATCTTCACACATATGCCCTGGCATCCTCTCCAAACTCCTTCTACATATACAGTGACAATGCCTATGAGCCTGCACAGCTCTTCATCTCCAACTCACGTCCAGACAGCACACTTCATCTCCCGACTCTGGTTCCTTGTGAAACACACGCATTTTTAACAGTCATCATCAGCAATCTCTGGTGCCTCCTACCATCCTCAACCTTCAGTCACCCCACTCTCATTTTACCCAGTGTATTAGGAACACCTGGGATTACCCCACCTGTGTTAGACACCATGGTCAAGCAGTTCACAGCTGCCGTCACGAATAGCCAATCCCACTTGCACAACTTCCCACTACTAAATTCACTACGACGCTCTCCAAGCCTGAACTGCACACCACTGCTTGGCTCTGTCATTTCTCCTCCTAGTCAGAGAACGTTCAGAAGAACATGGCAGAGTATATAAATCTGGTTTATTGGTAATTCACACAAATTTCACTTAAGGCTTTTCTCCCCACCGCCCAGTTATTCCCTCCTGACTGACTGCCAAGTAAAAGACGCACAGATACCATTCTAAGTGATGCCAACACTTGCCTCCTCTTCACCTTTACCTGAATGCACTTTATTTACTTTTCTGAATTTGTAGCCATTCAAGAAGTACTTCCTCATCTCTGCCTTTGGTCTTACATTCACTTCCTTTTTAGCCTTGAACCCTTTCCTGATTTGCAAGGAATGGTCTCTTCCTATTCAGACCACAAATTAACAAGCACCCTCTAAATTATCAGTGTAATTCTCTAAGTCTGCTTAGACGCCAATCTGTTCAATAACAATGAATCCTATGCTAAGGGTTGAAAGGTCTATCTAAATCCTGCCTCCATGGGGCCTCCCCTGGTGGCGCAGGCAGTTGAGCGCAGCACTGTGAAGCTGACCGCAGCCTCTGCAGCACTGGTTCTATCCGGGCCGCCGGCGAGGGTCCCACGTGGCATGGCAGACCTCTCCTGTCTTGCCCACTGCTCCCCTCAGCAGTGTATTGCAGTCAATCTGCCTGTTCTGTTCCCCACTCTGTCTCTGGTGAATTCTCTCACCCTCCCGCGCATCTGGCCTTACCCTGGTTCTTGTATAATAAATCTTGCTTCCATGTACAACATTCTTAGATGCTTAAAACAGAATTCACCACCTCAAAAGACAACACATACCATTTTAATAGTTCCATAAAATGTCATAATCTGCTTGCCTCTAAATGTCACAAATTGTCTCTCATTTGGAACTGCTTAAATTTTTTCAAGTGTAATCTACCTTTCACTTAATAGGGTCCTGCTAACATTTGAAACCAGGATTTTATTAGATTTGTCCACTGTCATTATGACACATTTGGTCTGTTCATCCTGTTATCCAACATCTTATTCATCCTTTCTGTGTTTGTGTCACCTGCAGTCTGAATCAGAACCAGCTTGCAACTACTGTCTCATCGGAATCACTGACACTTTGCTCATACTATTTATTTCTCTTCATGCCATTCTACTCTCTTCCTCTCTACCTCTCAAATGCTATTTACTCTTTAAAACCCAGCTTGTTCAGTCACTCACTTATTCTTTGAATACATCTTTATTAAGGAATCCAGATGCTTGGAACAGCCTGTGCTTGACTCTGGCAACAGATATATCAACGTGACAGTGCTTACTTTTATGGAGCTGACAGTCTGGCAGAGAAGGGAGACAATTTCGACGGAGTTTGATATGTGCTACAGCTGAGGTAAGCACAGAGTGCTGAAGGACACAAGAGATATGGGTGAGCCCGCTAAGTGAGGGAGGGAAAGATAGGAGGCTAGTGAGTTTCCAAGGGTGATTCTAACTGAACCTTAAAATATGAGCAGACCTTGGCCAGAAAGAGACAAGAAGGTCAAAGTCTCTACATGAAGTGTCACCTGATGCAAATTCTTGCAGACAAAGAGACGAGAACTGCACAGAATTAAGATGGCTGAAAGAGATGTGGTAAGACTTTGGTGGTGAGACTTACAACTGAACAGGATGGGTCAAATCATGACCTTTCATGACAGGCTAAAGAGCTCAAAGCTTTTACCAAGAAACTAACTAGTAAGAGAAAGGGAAGCGCCAAAAGATTTTCAATAAGAAAATGTGTTTGAGAAAATTACACTGGTAGCCTTTCCTGAGAACTCCATCCTCAATAGTCTCTTTGTCCTCCAAGTTTTTATGATACTAACAATGCGAACATTCAATCAGTACTCATATAATTATACAGCATTCTGAACTTTAATACGCTTATTCTTACATCACCAATGAGATCATTAACTCATGAAGGAAAACAACCATTCCTTACCTTTTTGTATGTCCCTCAGTTTCTAACAGCTAAAACTCCACATAAGACTACTTAAAACAAAAACAAAAACCTTCTTGATCGGCCAATATATGATTAGAAGACAAGCTAAAGAAATCAGGCCTAAGTCCAATATGTAAAAGCCCCCCCCCCCCACAACACTCCAGTAAGAGTCATCTACGTGCCAGGACATGCAGATAGAATGAACAAACAAACTGAGGCTGCCCAGGACCTCTGCCTACCACATTGTCCCCAACCGCTGACCCATCCCGCTGCAGTGTATTTATTACCTTCATAATTGAGAATGGGCTGTTTCTAGTTTTACATCTACACTCTGAAGACACGTCTTCTCTTCTTCTTAGAATTTATTTTATTAAAAAAGATACATGTTTGCTCTAACAGGTTAAACAATACACAGGAGAGAAAAAAAAGTTAACAAATTTCCTTGTAAACATATCACTATTTTATTTTTTTAAAGATTATTTATGAATACAAGAGCTGGGGTACAGGCCAGAGATGCGGGGGGTGAGAGGATTCACGAGAGACAGAGTGGGGAACAGAACAGGCAGACTGACTGAAATACACTGCTGAGGGGAGCAGCGGGCGAGACAGGAGGGGTCTGCCTCGCCATGTGGGTTGCTCCTTGGCCAGGCCGGGAATCAAACTGCAGAGGCTGCGGATTGCTTCATAGTGCATGCTTAACCCCTTGCACCACCAGAGAGGCACAACAAATCACTATTTTAAAGAGGTGGAATTCACTTGATTTTTTTTGTCCACTGCCTCATTCATTTCTTTTAGACCTGAACATGTGAATAACATGATCGAGTTTTATTATTCACTGGTAATTCTGTTCACCAACCATGCCCTTCCATGAGGATAATACTCAAGAGAAATCCAATGAGTTCATATCAGTCATACTTCCAAAACTTAAAACACAAACTTTTAATTTAGAAGGAGGAGTTCCAAGTATCTATTTTGAGGGCTACATGATAACAAGTCTTTTGCAAGACCTTCGACTAGCCTGCTTAGGGCTGAGCCACAAGTTTCTCAGAAAAGGATTTGAATGAACAACTTTGCCAGAAGCTGGAAGATCCTTTTTCAGAATGCTGTGTTGCAGACCCATCACTGACATAGACGTTTTTACCAGATTTAAATATCAGGATAAGAGGATTAGCTCCATTGCCTGGAGTTTAAAATCTTAACGTTTCAGCAAGGAACTTCATTAAGGAAGCCAAAGAGCAGCTTTATGACACCGCCCTTCAGAATGCTACAAACACCTCTCACTTCCAAAGTTTCAGATTTAGCTCCTACACATAAACCCTTCATTTAATTCCAGGCTCAGCAAAAATCTTTACACCCGGAGTTAGAATTTTTCAAAAAGTACCCTCACGTGATAGGAAGACAGTCAAAGAAAAGGAGATATTCTTTTTGATGCATCTTATAAATTCAACCCCATAAAAAGCTATGAAGTGATAATAGAGACCCCAAGAGCCCACAGGGAAATGCTCAGATTTAACATATGCAGGTATCAATTAATTACATGGGTTTAGTGAATTAGAAGGATTAAATACTTATTCCTACTTTATAAAAATCACCTCTACAGGTCGCAGAGTGACCAATACCTATCCTCATTTTCTTTCAGTTTCATTGGCAGCTATGTCCTTCTTAGAACGCAGGCAAGTCCTTCCACCTAAAATCTGAATCCCACCTTTTTTTCTCCTGGGGATCCTCAGCCCAACAATTACCCCTTAGTTTCTACATCTCTAACTTCTCCTTTTGGGCTCCCTGAACAAGAATGGCAACATTACTCACAGTTTCCGTAACCTCACCACCCACTCCCCCATGCAACCTGGC